CTAGGGTATTGGTGGTCTCAAGATAGTTGCTTTTATTGTTATTCAACAAGAGGAGATCTATCTTCATGTATATTCTCCCTAGCTCTCAGTAGTAGGTTCATAATTGTTCTAGATCTCCTCAAACAGTGATGATATGTCTGTTAGTTGGAAACCTGATGGTGATGTGATAGGTGGATGCAACAGATATAAAAATGTTTAACATAGGCATGCCAGAGATGGAATTGTGCATTTTGGGGGCCTCAAAGACGATGAAGTCAGCTGTCACCATGTATTGGCATTCTCCTTCTCCCCAAGTGATTGGAAGGGTGATCACCTCAAACATATCTTTTCACTCTCATAAATAATTGAATAGTGGTCCAAAGGTGGATGATAGCTGATTAATGGCTATTCCCAACTTTTCAAAAGCTTATTTGAATAGGAAGTTTACGAAGCTACTGATGTCTATCAGGATGTTATCGATTTGATAATCCTTAATGAATGTTGTGGCTATGATGACATCGTTGAAAAGATTCCCACTGATAGATAGATTGGTGTTTGAAAAAGTAACAAGAGGGTTGATGGGTGTAGGGCTATCAAAATGGCTCGTTGTTCATGAACAATTAGTGTTCGACTCATTTTGTAGCTCATGTTTGATTAGTTTGTTAAGCAAAAGAGTTGAACACAAACTATTTTTTGTGCTCGAAATATAAATGCACCAAATACAAACAAAGATCTATTTGTTCGTGTTCGACTCATTTTGGCTCGAAAAAATTAAATTGATGAGTATTATTTTAAAATAGTTTAATTGGCTACAAAGCTGCAAAGATTTATAATCACTATAAATTATTAATTAAAAAGTAGAATTAAAAATTAAATTATATTTAAATGAATATTTTAATATAAATAATAAGATTTAAATCTCACACATACCCTTAACATCTTTTACCTGTGAACACAAACAATTTTTTTGTGCTCATAATATAGATGAGATGATCATGAGCAGTGGTATTTTTTAGCGAGCCGAACACTAGCCAAGCATGCTCTCGCTCAAGCGTGACTCGTTTACACCCCTAAATCAGTGTAGCACACTTAACCAGAGTGGCTGATCAAACCTCTCTTGTCTTTAATCTCTTCATGTTGGACATTTATGAAGCTTTTGGTCTGTCTCCTCCAGAGATGACCGGCACAATTTTGATGATGTGGACTAGCCATACTAGAGTAGGCACATCGCTACTACCCTCGACAGACGCCTTACCCTATCATTGTGTATGGCTTTTGAGGCTACAAATTATTTCAATTTTCTCATCTTGATTAGCTCTTTGACTAGATTATGAAGAGGTTAAGACTCTTTGTGTGGTGGCCATGATCCTGACGGTACACACAATATTTATGTGGATCACACATGTGTTTGCCTGCTTTCATGGGGAAAGGATTTCTAAAGCAATCTTTGTTATGAAAGAACTGCAACATTTTGTTAATAGAAACCCTCAATGATGTGACTTTAGCAGGAGGGGATAGTTAAAGTAATTCTTGATTCCTCTCTTGTCTTCTTTTGACTAGTCTCTCGTTGGTGTTGGTTTGCTCGTGACGAGTATATTTTTTTGGCAATGCCCTAAGATTTATTCTTGAAGCTGTTCATTGGATCTTTGGGATCTTCAAGGAATTAGCTCTGGAACTTCTCTCTGGGCTTTGGTGGTTGAAAAGGTCCAAGGTAGGAATTGTGCTCTTTAGAAGAGATGTAGCTATTTGCGAGCTCCAATAGATTCACCAACGTCTTTGGTTTCTACAAGCAAGGGCATACTAAAATGGAACTTCCTGGAGTTCTTGAGCCAAATATATTTGAGTGATGTCAGGTTCAAGATCCTAGATATCCAACGTCTTCCGTTGAAAGTAGGTGATGAAGTTTTTTAGGCTCTCGGTGGGTTCTAGTGGATCTTCAGAAGAACTTGGGATTCATTCAGTGACTTTTGTGCGCTAACAAACTGAGCCACGAACCTGTATTTAACCTCTCTGAAGGAGTTGATAACTCCTTTCAGCAGATTATTGAACTAACACATAGATGATTCCTTTAGCACAATGAAGAATAAATGACATTCTAAAGCATTGTTTGTCTGGAGTAGACACAAAAGTGATTCTAATAATGCCAGGTAGTCGGTGGGGTCGGATTTTTCTCTATAAGATTCCAAAGAAAGAATCTTAAAACTTTCTTGGTGCCTCTACTTCCTCAATTTTGCATGGAAATGCATTCTTCTCTAACCTTTGTATTCTTCTTCCTCTCATAGCTTCATCATCTGATTAGTCGAGAAAGGGTATTATTATTATTATTATTATTATTATTATTATTATTATTCTTTCTTTTTCAGTCGAGGCCACAACATATAATACTTCTCTTAAATGATCAAGATCGTCCCCATGCAATCTTTCTCATTCAAAGATTAGGCTAAGGATTCTTCTTGGTCCAACTCTTGGTGGATCTTGCCTTGACGAATCTTGCCTCAGTGGATCTTACTTACAAACCATCGATCTTAACGATCAAGGGTGGTCCTTGATTCAGCTCGAGTATGAGAAATGGATGTTTCTTTTAGATTTTGTATAAATTCAATCTTCTTCTATGTCAACTTTTTGGTTTGCTGAAGCATGATTTTCGTAGTGCAATCCATCGTTCTCCTTGTTCTTCATATGAACTTCATGCTCCCCACATAATTTAGGATTTTGAATCTTTTTGGGAAGTGAGGTCTTGTATTGTTCTTGAATACATTCAACACTGTACAAACTTGTATCGTAGAGAGAACATGAGAGAGAGAGAGAGAGAGAGAGAGAGAGAGAGAGAGAGATTGATGCTAGTTCCGAGAGTGAATTTTAGAGAATGTATTGAGCCTTATCTCCAGTAAGCTAGAAAAGTCTGACCCATCGAAGATTCTTTGAGTGAGATTTTTAATGAGAGTACTGGGATCCCCCTCTGAAAAAACCATTTATCGATCTCCTTTTGACTTCTCTTTTATTCCCAAGAGAGAAAAGTAATAAAAAAATAAACAAAATCTATTTCATACTGCACAGAGCCCTTTCTCAGTGTCTTGATAAAAATACTATGATGTGGGTTTCTGACGGTGTTGGTACAATGCCCTTCCCTCGTGTCTTGATGAGAAGAGAGTTGCAAATATCAAGTGATGCTTTTGATGATGTCTTGATAGATATCCTCACTAATCATTATGACACTCCTATAGTTGCTCTCGCACAAAATGGCTAATACCATTCTTTCAGGAGGAATGCATACAACCATTGCACGATCTAGCTACTTCGATAGGTGGGTTTAATACAACCACTTGGACATGTGGGATAGATTCAACCACTTCCACAAATGGTCTAAATCCAAGGAAAATAAGTAAAAAATGTTTTAGATACATGTATTTGTGCTTACATATTTATTTTTTAAAAATACGACTCTTGTTAAGGACCACTTTTATTTTTATTTTATTTTATTTTATTTTTATTTTAAACAAAACATATTTGTTTGATTTCTTTTTAAATAATATTTTTTCCAAAATAAATTAATTTATTTTTTAAAATAAAAAAATACAAATATTTTAAAAATACACTAAACTAATAAATTTTTAGAAATCAGAAATAAAAACACAAAACAAAAAATAAAAAGTGATCCCAAAAGCCCTTAAATTTATAGCAAAGGTAAATAATCAACCCCAAAAATTTTAATTGTATTACTTTTATTTTTACCAGAGTTAGAATCTTTTTTTTTTTTTTGGTTAGTAGGTTTCCCTCCTAGATTTTTAACATTTGCGTATTATTAATTAAAATTCTCTAAACCTTGAAAAAGGAGGAAATTACTAAGGCCGCATTTTGTGTCTTGGATTCTTGACGTAGCTCTACGTGCCTAGAAGTTTATTCCTGAGTTATTTTCAATAATCCCAAAATAATCCTTTACCGAGAGTTATTTCTGGGTTATTTCGGGATTATTGAATAATCCAAAAATAACCTGAAAATAACTCAGCAATAACATCTGCAACACGTAGAACTACGTCAGGAGTCCGCACGAAAAAATTAGGCACTACATACACACCATTCATCCATTTTTTATATTGTCATTCCAATATAAATTCATGATAAAACCCCAATCTATTCAAAAAAAAAAAAAAAAAAAACACTCAACGGTTACCTCATAAATATTAATACTTCTAATAAGAAAACACAAAATTTTAATTAAAATTATGCATATCAGGTTGCTGATAACATCAACCCTTACATCTTTATTCAGAAAAGAAAAAGGAAAAAATTACACATTCAACACCTACTTCTTATATATTTATTTATCTCATACCCAAACTTTAATTTTTACGATCTAAACCCTTTTATCTATACATGAAAAGATAAAATTTTGATTTTTAAAATATAGATATTTTCACCTATATATGAAAAGGTCGATCACATAGATAAAAATATTTTTATTGTAAAAATTAAAATTTAAGTGTGAGATAAGTAAATACATAAGAATTGGGTGCTATTTATGTAAATTATCCAAGAAAATTTACATATGCACCACTCAATTCTTATGTAATTATTTACTCAGAATCTACAGCACATAATTGTTCTTGCCGGCCCCCTCCATTGTAGCCTCGTACCCCCTCCCCTGCGGGTACCCCGCACCACCTGGCAGCCGCGTCGGGTCCTCGCCGTACATTGAATCCCCGTTACCAACCGCACCACCAATCGGCTGCCTCTCCGGCAACCCGCCGTACATAGAAGCCCCATCAC